TGTGTATATATATATATATATATATATATATATATATATTTTAGAGTAAATTAAATATTTATAAATTTACGTAATTTTGCGCCCAATTAATTAAAGGTATTATTTTTTACAGGTGTCACAGGGTGCTAATACCTTCCCTACATGTAATTAACTTTTGAACCCAATTTCAATTTTAAAAGATTATCTTTTAAAGAGTTTTCCAATGTTTTTCCTTAAAATAAAATATTGGTGGCGACTCCATTAAAAAAAATGTTTGCGTCATCTTGTCGCAGTTTCGGTTGCGACAGATGACGACTCCATTGGGGACGTTTGAGAGTCAGGCCTTATTAAATTAATTGCACAAAATTATGACTTTATAAATATTGATTTTACCCTTTTTATTTATTTTATTTTTGTTTTATTTTTTATTTTTATTTTTGCTACGCATGTTCTGTTTGGATTTAAGCTTAAATTAGAGTTTTATTTATTTTATTCGCATGTCTATTTGTTACCCCACACACCCACTAACACTTGTACCTCACACACTTTGGGCTCTATACTCGAGCCTATGCGAGCCTAAGAAGAGAAGGTGGCTTGATGACTGTTATTGAGGGGCTTGATGCTCACTTAACCGTTGTTGAGTTATCACTCAGGTTGTTACTAGTAGCATGGGTTAATCATATTGAGAGGGTATGTTCCCTACTTGTGATTGATTCATGCGCTAGGTCCTTATTTATATGATAAGGGCAACCTGGGGACCAATAAATCTTGAGAAGTTTTAGATCCACCCACAAAACCATGCACTGATAGGTGGACTTAATGACCTTTCGAATTAGGGTGTTAACCTTAGAAATTTGCTACCCTAGGTTTATCGTAATAAGTCACATTGTACTACCATTTATCCTTCCTTTTATACATGTTCGTGCTAACAAAAAAAAAAGCATGTTAATACATTCATGCATCATACATTTATATCCAATATCATTTTAGTATCTATACTATTTTTCTTGCCCAAAATAAATTTTAATAAACAAATAAAAGATAAAAATGATGTAAGGCCATGCATACATGCATATTAGGGGTATATTAGGTTGCATTTTTTTTCTTCATTTAACTAAGTCTTTGTCTCATTAACACTTTAAAACAATAAATAGTATTCAATATGGAAGAAATTCAAAATCATACTAGCAATGCATCAGGGTTAAGTAAAGAGTATCAGGATAAATGTGCTAAAAAATGATCTCCAAAGGGTAGGTAAGATCCGCCAAAATAATAGCACATTTGACTTGATATATAACTTGTTTTAGACATCATTTATTGAGGCGAGAATTCTCCCTTGAGTGATTGTTAATCACATTTTGATCTTGAGATGATTGATACTTGTTTGAAAATGTGACTTGTACTGTTGCATTGCTAGTAAAATGACCTTATTCATTGAGGAGTGAATGCTCCCTTGAAATAAGGGTCAACCATCATATGACCTAAGAGGTTTTGCCTCTAGTGTTGAGGTATGGGGAATTGCTCCTCAAATTGAATACAAAATCAATCTTTTCCAAAATTTGTTTCTTCTTCCTTTTCTTTTATACTCATAAAATTCACTTTGTATTCAGAAAGTAATAAAGCAAAAAAAAAAATAACAAAGTGTTTCCTCGGCATCGTTATAGGACACACTCTCAGGCTAAAATCATGGATGAGATAGAGGAACACAAAGAAGAATTGAGAAATGATATCAATCAATTGAAGGAACAAATGGCCCAAATTCTAGAGATGTTGTAGTCTATACAAGTGAAAAATGTAGAAGGGACCCCTCTAGTAGCTAGAGGAGAATCGTCAACTTCTCCTGCGTATCCACCTAGCTTTACCCCAGCCCCAACAAAATCATTAACTCTACATCTTAACAAATCCAGTCAACAAGTTGATCCTCCAAAGGTCCAATGGCCACCATATGGCCTTCCGCCCAACTACACACCTCCAACAATCATGGATCCTCCGGATAAGCACCAACCATTGGTGAGTTGTTGGGGGCATGATCGTATGCGTGATACAATACTAGATGTGTGATGTGTCAAGTACAATTATATGAGTGATATCAGTGGCGGTAGTGGAATGCAGTAGCACAGTAAGGTGCGTGACACGATGTGAATGTGTGATGCATCAGTAGGGGCGTGTACATGGTCTGGTGCTGGATGTGTGACATGGTGTATATGTAAAATTTGTTAATATGTACATATGTGAAATGTGATGAAAGTTTATCAGGTCCAAATATGTCACTATAAATAGGAGACTGATAAGAAATGAAAGACAAGTATGATTATTTAAAACTATAGTATTTATTGTTCTGTACCGAGTACTAACTTGAGCATGGAGTGCCTTTACAGGTACTGGTGAATCAGCAGCCTACACAAAAGCAACCTACCCAACCTGAGGTTTCACCCATGAATGTCACCTCTTATAAACATCGTTCCCTACCAACCCCAAAATTCTATCCATTAAAAAAAATGTTTGCGTCATCTTGTCGCAGTTTCGGTTGCGACAGATGACGACTCCATTGGGGACGTTTGAGAGTCAGGCCTTATTAAATTAATTGCACAAAATTATGACTTTATAAATATTGATTTTACCCTTTTTATTTATTTTATTTTTGTTTTATTTTTTATTTTTATTTTTGCTACGCATGTTCTGTTTGGATTTAAGCTTAAATTAGAGTTTTATTTATTTTATTCGCATGTCTATTTGTTACCCCACACACCCACTAACACTTGTACCTCACACACTTTGGGCTCTATACTCGAGCCTATGCGAGCCTAAGAAGAGAAGGTGGCTTGATGACTGTTATTGAGGGGCTTGATGCTCACTTAACCGTTGTTGAGTTATCACTCAGGTTGTTACTAGTAGCATGGGTTAATCATATTGAGAGGGTATGTTCCCTACTTGTGATTGATTCATGCGCTAGGTCCTTATTTATATGATAAGGGCAACCTGGGGACCAATAAATCTTGAGAAGTTTTAGATCCACCCACAAAACCATGCACTGATAGGTGGACTTAATGACCTTTCGAATTAGGGTGTTAACCTTAGAAATTTGCTACCCTAGGTTTATCGTAATAAGTCACATTGTACTACCATTTATCCTTCCTTTTATACATGTTCGTGCTAACAAAAAAAAAAGCATGTTAATACATTCATGCATCATACATTTATATCCAATATCATTTTAGTATCTATACTATTTTTCTTGCCCAAAATAAATTTTAATAAACAAATAAAAGATAAAAATGATGTAAGGCCATGCATACATGCATATTAGGGGTATATTAGGTTGCATTTTTTTTCTTCATTTAACTAAGTCTTTGTCTCATTAACACTTTAAAACAATAAATAGTATTCAATATGGAAGAAATTCAAAATCATACTAGCAATGCATCAGGGTTAAGTAAAGAGTATCAGGATAAATGTGCTAAAAAATGATCTCCAAAGGGTAGGTAAGATCCGCCAAAATAATAGCACATTTGACTTGATATATAACTTGTTTTAGACATCATTTATTGAGGCGAGAATTCTCCCTTGAGTGATTGTTAATCACATTTTGATCTTGAGATGATTGATACTTGTTTGAAAATGTGACTTGTACTGTTGCATTGCTAGTAAAATGACCTTATTCATTGAGGAGTGAATGCTCCCTTGAAATAAGGGTCAACCATCATATGACCTAAGAGGTTTTGCCTCTAGTGTTGAGGTATGGGGAATTGCTCCTCAAATTGAATACAAAATCAATCTTTTCCAAAATTTGTTTCTTCTTCCTTTTCTTTTATACTCATAAAATTCACTTTGTATTCAGAAAGTAATAAAGCAAAAAAAAAAATAACAAAGTGTTTCCTCGGCATCGTTATAGGACACACTCTCAGGCTAAAATCATGGATGAGATAGAGGAACACAAAGAAGAATTGAGAAATGATATCAATCAATTGAAGGAACAAATGGCCCAAATTCTAGAGATGTTGTAGTCTATACAAGTGAAAAATGTAGAAGGGACCCCTCTAGTAGCTAGAGGAGAATCGTCAACTTCTCCTGCGTATCCACCTAGCTTTACCCCAGCCCCAACAAAATCATTAACTCTACATCTTAACAAATCCAGTCAACAAGTTGATCCTCCAAAGGTCCAATGGCCACCATATGGCCTTCCGCCCAACTACACACCTCCAACAATCATGGATCCTCCGGATAAGCACCAACCATTGGTGAATCAGCAGCCTACACAAAAGCAACCTACCCAACCTGAGGTTTCACCCATGAATGTCACCTCTTATAAACATCGTTCCCTACCAACCCCAAAATTCTAATTTTATCAACCAAGGGAATACTCACCAAACTTCTAGGGGATATCAACCAACCTCTAGAATTGAGCATGTTCAGATCTTTTCTATTCATAATTATAGAAAAGCTTATTAACCTTAATTATATTTATAATCTAGAAGGGGGTTACAGTTGCATTCTATGACACTTCACAGGGTCACACTTAACATAACTTTTCATTTGTCAAAATCATTCACTGTCAAACTGCTTTTAAGATTATCGATTATTCCCACAAACAATCATAAGACTTTACAATGTGTTTTTTCTCCACTTACACATTTTATAGGAAACTAGAAGTCTTCCCATCCTTAAATCACTTCAAGTAAAACACGTTTAAGTATGAAACTATTAAGCAATGAGTCATTGAAAAGTAAATGCATCATGTTATAGATAATATAAATTAACACATGTACAAATTTCTAGATCCCTATCATTCTCGTTCTGTCCAAACTGTTATACTACTTGGGAGCTCGAGAGCAAGATTAAGGAAAATAAAGCCACTATTTTCAGTTCCTAATTGGCTTTGTGGGGTTTGGTTTCAAGGCCAAATCCAAATGGGTAAAGGGGATCATAGTGAGAATCTCCAACATTCATTGGCAACTGATCAACGGTTTTGAACCATGTCCTTGGAAGCTTGCCACTGAAACCATAATCACCAAACAACACATCAGTGACACCATGTCCCTCAGAACCTGGAAGCCATGCAGCAACAAGTGCTTCAATCACATCAACATATGGCTGTATAACCACAGGACGACCAGAGATGATCACAGTCACACATTTGACTCCTCCACACACATTGTTTATGGTGTCTGCCCCTTTTCCAGAGATTGTCAAATTCATGCTATCACCATTTGTTTCGGCATATGGTGTCTCTCCAACTGCCACAATGGCATAGGAAAAGTTGTTGGACTTTACATACTCTAAACCGAGAACTCTCATGCGCTCCGTGTATCGAATCAATTCAAGCCGAGCCCTCTCTAACCGAGAGCTCTCATGCGCTCCGCACTTCGTGTATCAAATCGTGTTCAAACCAAGAACTCTCTAACCGAGAACTCACACACGTCCCACTGGGTATCAAATCACTCATTTCGAAGCCGAGCATGTTAAAGCCGAACACTATAATGAAACAATCATACCACGCTTAAATCACCGAACGAATCGCGACATTGGCCCCCTCGGCCAAGTAAGAAGTCGGTTTATTTTAACTTACCCATTCGTAAAAGGAAAAGAAATTTCATTAATTATGGCCGATCAAAACGACTACTTACAAAAAACCCAAAAGCAGTCTATGCACCGACACCAAAGGCCGAGCTTACAAAAAGGCGCTGACGGCCCGGTTACAAAAAATAACTCCTACCCTAGCTTCATTACAAAGTCCGATCCCTACTTAGCCGCTTGCTCCGTTGGATTCCCGTCGCCGACAACATCTATAACCAGGTCCCCCTCCTCGGTTGACTGCCCAGGAGCCCGACTAGACACACCTTGATGGGGGGCTTCGGCATCTAGTTGAGCCCCTTGAGGAAACTCGGCATAGCTCATAAACTTACCACCTAGGAAGTCTCGGCTAACATCAAACTGAAAGTCAGCCGGGACATCACAAAACTGGTAAGCTTGCCGAACGGCGTGCTGGAAGTCGGCATCGTGCTGGGAAAGGATTTGCTCGGTTGCTTCGGCCTCGAACTGTACAGCCGCCTCTTTCAGTCGGGTGATCTCACTTGCAGCAGCGGCAGCTTCAGCCTTCATCTTTTGCATGGCCAACTTCAGGTCGTCGGCCTCCCTACGATAGGCGTCGGCCTCCCTACGATAGGCGTCGGCCGTCTTCTTCAGCTTCTCGGGCGATTCTGTTGCCTTGGCGTTAGCACTCAAGGCATCCTTCACCGTCGCTTCGGCATCCTTCAGGCGGGTTTGGAGCCTCTCGGCCGAGACCGCCGACCTCATCATTACATGTTTCGCCACGAGGGAGGTCCGAGCATCAAGCTCACAGAAGAGCTTATACTCGGCCTCCGTCGACATTCCCTCTAAGTATTGGAGTCCCCCTCTGGTGGTAAGGTCAAGACTGACCAAATTCTCGACCTGCACGTCCGAGGCCAAGAAGTTAGACCCCGCAACAACAGCGGGAATGGCGAAGGCCCCGCACCCTGCCTGCTCCAATGATAATGGCTTCGGTCGCTTGGATAAGGAGCTCGGACGTTCCGGCTCTATATTTTGTTCGGCAGCACGCACCCGAGACGTACTACCCTTTTTCTTGGGGTCGGCCAAGGGAATCAGTACTTGAGCAGGCTTATCTCGCGGTACCTTGAGGGCCGACCTCGCCAGCGGAACCTTCCCGCTTTCTTTGGCTTCCTTCGCCCTCTTGGCGAGCATAGCGGTAACGTCTAGCTTGCCTCCGGCCATTAAACCTGCAACAAATCAAACCTTAACATCAATTCAAAACACTGCTAAACTACCGAAACCTAACATACATACCTAGCAAAGCCATCTCAAAATGAGACGTCTCAAAAATGTCCAACAGGCCCCGGACAGGCAAACCCTTCGGCAACTCATCTAGGAGGTCGACAATCCCTCTGTCCTCGGCCGGGAGCTTTGATAGGGGGATCGCCTCAAAACGCGTCGGCCGCCTCGTCCAATAAAAAGGGAATAACGGAGATTTCTCTCGATCATAGAAGCAATCGTTCATTTCCGATCCCCACCGAACTTTAAAAAACCCACTTTTAAATCCCTTATAAGAAGAGGTGAACGCCCGAAGAAAACCACGCTTCGGTACTCGGGCTAGCGAAACCCACTTCACCGGTTTGCTCGGACGACATATATAGTAATACAAGAAAGCTAACGGTCGAGGAGTGAGGCCAAGGCACAAACACAAGTTCTGAAACACTTGCATGGCTGCCCAAGCATTCGGATGCAGTTGGGTCAGCGCCACGTTCAATGTTCGGAGAACTCCCATTTGAAAGTCGTCTAATGGGAGCTCTATGCCGAGGTCCTCGAACCAACACATATATATATAGAAGTAGTCGTCTTCATTGGGCTCCGATTCCAAGAACACAAAATCAGTGTTCGGCCCGTCATCTTCGCACGCCTCGGCAAGAAGTGGAAACTCCCCTTCACCACTCCCGAAGCATTTTTCTAATGACACAAAGGTGTCCAATAACGCCTGGTGGGACAGCTTCAAGAAATATATCCCGACCTCTCTGTCCACCCACTGATATCCGGGAATATCAACCGTGCCATAATCAATTTTGGACGCCTTTACCCCGATCATCCTCAATAGCCCTTACCTCGTCTCCACTGCCTTCAACGCCACCGACCTCGGCAATTAGGCCCTGTTGATCATTTTCGTCGAGGCCTCTACAATCCACCTCGATAGCTTGTGCCAACGCGAAACCCAACGACATCGACGACGATACCTCTACAACCTCGTCCCCACTATCGCTAGGCTCGGTATGGTCGGAGGGGAACACCACTTCACATTGTAAGGGAGGCAGCTTCGATATCTCACTTGAACCCGACCCCTCTTGATCAGACGCAGCGCCTGACGCCTCTGAAGATGACCAGCTCCTGGCCGAGGAGTAACCCCTATCCATTTATTACCACAAAATAAAAAAAATACAAAATTTTACCTTTGATCGGTAAGCTCGGCTAAAACCTTGAACTCAGAGACCTCGGAGAATTTACAGCAAGTGAATTCTCAAAGCACCCCCCTATTTATAGGCAAGGTAAAAGAGGGAGGTGAAACGACGCCCCGGAACCACAGCCGTTTGATCTGAACCATCCAACGATCTAGATTAAGTAACCATTGGGCCCGTAACCGCTAGGGCCAACGTGGCACTCAACAATCACCTAGGTCTCGGCCTTTGACCCCAACGTGGCACCTTACAATCATCGAGGCCTCGGACATTATCTCCAACAGGTAAGGTCTTGGCCTTCAACCCCAACGTGGCACTCAACAATCACCTAGGTCTCGGCCTTTGACCCCAACGCGACACCTTACAATCATCGAGGCCTCGACCATTATCTCCAACAGGTAAGGTCTCGGCCTTCGACCCCAACGTGGCACCTTACAATCATCGAGGTCTTGGCCATTATCTCCAACAGGTAAGGTCTCGGCCTTCGACCCCAACGTGCACCTTACAATCATCGAGGCCTCGGCCAGTATCTCCAACAGGTAAGGTCCCGGCCTTCGACCCCAACGTGGCACCTTACAATCATCGAGGCCTCGGCCATTATCTCCAACAGGTAAGATCTCGGTCTTCGACCCCAACGTGGCACCTTACAATCATCGAGGCCTCGGCCATTATCTCCAACAGGTAAGGTCTCGGCCTTCGATCCCAACGTGGCACCTTACAATCATCGAGACCTCGGCCATTATCTCCAACAGGTAAGATCTCGGTCTTCGACCCCAACGTGGCACCGTACAATCATCGAGGCCTCGGCCAATATCTCCAACAGGTAAGGTCTCGGTCTTCGATCCCAACGTGGCACCTTACAATCATCGAGACCTCGGCCATTATCTCCAAGAGGTAAGGTCTCGGCAAAGAACCAACGATCACCGAAGTCTCGACCTTTGTCCTCAACAGCCAAGGTCTAGACGAAGACCCAATACTCGAGGCCTCGGCACAAACCTGCGGTCACGCTCCGCCTTAAAACACCGCCTAGTAGTGGTCAAACTCATTCGTTATACTGAAGTCTTGGAGACGACCCCATTAGACGGACATCTTACCATCAAGGAGCCATTACCCAGCCTTCCGGGTCGAACCATAATATCAAATACCTTTAAACCGTTTTCGTCTTTGGCATCCTCAACGCTGCGGGGGTTGTATACCATATGGGCCCGAGACCGAATCGACCGACCCGACTGAATTGACCGTATACCAAATGGACCCGAGACCGTGTCGACCGACCCGACTGAATTAACCGAACACCCGTATCCAAGGACGACCAACCCAGTAACCGACCACACCGACCACTCGTGCAATAGAACGGGTCGGTGTGCTCGGCCTATCCTCAGAACTCCTCCAACACGATTACAAAAGGATTAATTTAAGAGATAAACCGGATTAACCCCCTAACTTTCCGGGGCCCAACTCCTAATCACGACCCAATAAGGAACACTATAAATAGACCCCCTTCGAGGTATGTAATTGACTTTTGAACTACCGCATTTATTACGCTGAGCACTCACTTGAGCGTCGGAGTGTCTTTGCAGGCACACCCCCCTCGCGTCAGACTATACGGAAGAGAACGAGAAGACCGAGACCCAAGACCCGACCCGCCATAACAGATAATTGAAGTGTGTATCCTAACACAGGAACACAACCAATCATCAACAACATAATAGAATCTAAATAAAAAGTTTTTGACAAGACAGGCCAAAAGGATGCATATTTTGACCATTTTTTCTTCTCCTCAATGCAGCTTCACAATGAGAGATCAGAAACAGGGTCAGTCCAATATTGCCATCAATCATGACTCATGCAGCGATCATACAAATACAAGTACAACCAATCATCAACAACATAACAGAATCTAAATAAAAAGTTTTTGACAAGACAGGCCAAAGTTAAATCATAACAGTAAACAAACAACAAAAAACAACATTGTCAAATTCATTCATGCCGTTTAACAGAAGAAGAAGAAGAAAATAATAATAATAATAAAAGAAGATGGATACACATGCAAGTGAAAGTGAAAACTGAAAAGAGACACAGATACTACACCAAGGTTCTAGAACATAAGAGGAATGAGACTCTCACCTCTGTTACTGAGATATGAGAGAGAGAATGCGTATGTGCTCCTTCATGTGCTACGGGTGTATGAATATATAGCGGGGGAAAACTCAACAGGATGTTACCACTTCAGTATCGTTTGAAATCATGGATAAAGAGATAAAAGTATATTTTGTCTTATCTTTTCTTTTTTTAATTCCAGTTTGATTATTGTGG